ATACTAATTTTAGAAAAAGCAAATTAGAATAATTGTCCAATTTAGTATTGAGACAAAGCGCGAAGAAATCAACTTATTTGTATCACCCCACTAGCAGAAGGAACATTATTTTGCAGTCTTCTAGGAAATACGAACCCTGATAACGCAGTTTACGGTATTAAAATGCGGAAGTTCATAAGGCAGCTCTTGAAGTTTATGAATATCTTAACGCAACGAACACTGGTGACCAAATGAATTCCATATGCATACGAACTGACCACATGGTTCAAGAATTAAGCACATAAGTGAATTTGAACTGAATAGCTTTCTAATGAAATATCAAGAACATAAAAGGACTTGGAAAAGACAAATGTCTTCTGCTTGGAAAATCTTGTGTAGGTAAGTCACCTCACAATTTACATGAGGTTTATTCAAACAAAAAGGGTGAGGACCAGTGTGAGTCTCACATCTAAAGTAACAAATGCTTACATATGAAACTACGAGTTTACCGAACAAATTTGATGAGTTACTTGAACTAAGTAATGCTAATTCTACACTTCTGCTGGACATATCTGAAATACGTGTACCTTCTCAGATCACAGGCCAATACCCGATAAGTGGTTACTTTGAAGTGTCAAAAAGAACGGAATAAGAGACAGAACTACTCTATTCCTAAGCTCTGGCCTGGTAGTAAATCAGGTAAACACTAAAAATCTTATCAAGCGGGATCAATCTATATCCTATTGCAACGCTCTCATACTCACCAGGTCATAGTGTGTCCCCAGAAAATCTAAGGCTAACACATATCACACCAGTTTTCAAAGAAGGCCAATGCAGTCGATCTTCAAGTTACCGAATAGTTGCATTCCTTACCGTACCCTCGAAAATGATGGAGTTCTTGATACACTATAATTAACTTGACCACTTATTACATATAAACTTTTACACTAACAATAACACAGTTTCTAAAAGGGACATATTCGTTTTATAAATTTGCTGGATGCAATGGACATATGACAACCATTCTTTATAAGGAGAGTAATGTGTGTATGATATAGCATGGTATTTCCATTAAAACTAATGTGGTCAGCACCAAATGTCGAAGACCTACAGAGCTATTGATTTTGGGAATTTGTTTACAGCTACACCTCTAAGCTCTTGGTAAGGCCAACCAAATAAGCCTCACCAATAAGTTCAAACTGTTAAGTATCAATTCGCCATCAACAGACTAATCCAAGGTCATATTACAAATAGTTTTTCCCTGTGCTTCAGAGTGTTCAAGTAGGTCCACCATGGTCCAGTGCCAAGAATTATTTTTTCATTCATCGGCTAGTATATTCCAACTTATCGCTCTTCGTTGACGGTGCAAAACTGTGGAAAAAACTTTGCAGCCAGGGTGATAAACTAAAACTGCACCAGCACTCCACTGATAGTAAACCTCTTCCATGAGACTTCCATAAAGAACTAGGAGTAATAATAAGTCATGACCTAAAAACAACTACGCATTGCAACGCAGACGCTGTCAAAGGTTTTCATGCGTTATGGTCACTTCGCTGAGCGTTCAAATCTATTGACGAGAAATGTTTCGAGTTTTATATCCCACTTATGTAAAACCGCATTTAGAGTACTGTATCCAAGCAACTAGCCCATGTCTGGCAAAGGATATTAACTCACTTGAGCGTGTCCAACGTGTGGGAACGAAATTAGTGAAGGGTCTTTCTAAACTCCCTTACGATGAGTGTTTAAAACGCCTCAACCTTTTCCCTTTGTCGTATCGTAGGACGCCATGTGACCTTATACTGGCATTTCGTGACTTTAATTATGATTTCAGATTCAGATTCAGACCTGTATAGTAAGGACAGAACGCCTACGGCCTATGTTATTCCTTTTCTAGTATGCCTCTGTGAACGTCCAGTCTTCTTTTGAATGAGACAATTGAAGATGCGGACACCACTGCTTCGGGCAGCAGGTTCCAAGTATTGATGACTCGGTGTGAAAACCTGTGTGCCACAGGTATTTTGTTTGTTTTTGGCTTTTCTACTCGCTTGCTATGTCCTCTCAGATATCTCGATCTAGCGGGTAGTAAAAGAGAGAATAAGTTAGGTCCAGAATCACTTCTCAGTATTCTGTACATCAAAATTAGATCTCCCCTTAGTCTGCGATAGGACAGAGTAAAGAGGTTCAGTTTTTCAAGCCGCTATTTGTATGATAAACTCCGGAGTTCTGGAATTGCACGCGTAGATGCTCCCTGTACTTTTCAAGTATGTCCGAGTCACCTTTTAAACAGGGACTTGCAGTCCTGAACGCAGTTCTCAAGCTTAGTCCTCACCAAAGATGTGTATTTTGTGGTGAACATTTTAGTGTCTAACTCAGTGAATGTCCGTTTTATAGCCTAGGGTGTTCGAAATCCCTTAGCTGCGACCTCCTGACAATGGGCCGTCATCTTAAGATCATGACTTACTGTCATTCCTAGATCCTTATGAGACCGGACCATGGTTAATGGAACATCCCCTGCGTTGTACCTATTACCTTTGAATCCCCAAAAGTGCACGTAAACACTTTTTTCCACGTTGATAGGCATCAACCACTCTTTAGACCAGTTAATCATTTTATTTGAGTCTACCTGATGAGCACATGCGTATTTGTCTTCAGTTTTTACTCTCCAGATTTTTACATCTTCAGCGTATAATCACATTGGAGATTGTACTATTCTTGGAGGACCATTAACACACATTGTAAAAAAAAGGACCTAGAACGAAACCTTGAGGTACCCCACTAAGTACTGGTCTCCAGTTGGAGCACTTGGAATTTATTCTTACTTTTTGCCTACGACCTACTAGGAAATCCTTAATCCATTTTAAAAGAGGTCCGGCAATACCAAGGTTTTCCAACTTCAATTACAGTCTTTTGGTTTGCACCTTGCCAAAAGCCTTACTGAAGTCTATGTAGACACCATTCACTGAGTTTCCGTTGTCTGGCGCGTTTATCCAGGACTCGCTTGCCATAAGGAGGTTCGTTGTACAATATAGACTCTTTCTAAAACAATGTTGTTCTATATTTAGCAATTATTGGTTTCCATAAATGCCATTATGGTTCTTTTTTGACTATTCCTTCCATTACTTTAACCACAACACTGTTGAGGCTTACAGGTCTGTAATTCGATGGAATTTGTCGCAGACCTGTTTTGTGTATAGGAGTGACGATCGCGTCCTTCCGGTCCATAGGTAACACACCTTGGTCAAGTGACATGTTGAATGTCACAGTCAGTGGGGCCGCGATATATTGTGCAATATGTCTCAGCATTTTGGGGTGTAGTTCATCTGGTCCTGTTGACTTTTCCATGTTTGAGGTGCTAAGAGCCTTAAACATATCGTCTTGATTGAAGTCCACGGTGAGCAGGTGGATTGTTGACTGTGTATTTTGGTCTGGTTCTTTGTCTAGAGGAGGTTTCTGATTGAAGACAGTCCCAAAATCGTTAGCCATAGCCTCTGATTTTTCCTGATCTTCCTCTATCATTTCAGTTTCACTACCTTCTTTAATTAGGCTGGGAATTCAATGATGTGTCTTTGTTCTGTTCATGTACGAGAATATTCTCTTGGGTTGCTTGAGTGCAGATTGTGCCAACTGCATTTCACATTTTGTTTGAGCTTCCCGAATTTTCGTTATACACTTGTTTCTTATCAATCTGTAGCGTTTCGTCGTACCTGCTGTGCCAAGGCGGATGGCGACATTCCAACATTTCTTATTTTGGTTTAATAAACGTCAAATATCACGGCCCATCCAGGGTTGGCCGTGCTTCTTCTTCTTTGGAACTGTCCAGGGTATGTATGGTTGAGTTATCCGATTGTGTAACTGCCTGAAAAGAGTCCATGCCTCTTGTACTGATGCCTTAGAGTCAATTTCACAGTTTTCAGCCGGTGCTGCGGAGTTGACTTCCTCCATATCTGCCTTCCATATATTAGGACGGGCCGGCGCAACTGTTTGACAGGCAATCTCAGCCATGAATTTGAATAAGATGACTGCATGGTCACTTCTCCCTAGTGGTGGGAGGAAAGTCATATGACCAGCGTCATCACTGTGTGTGAAGACTAAATCTAATAGAGAAGAAGAGTTTCTTAAGTCATATCGTGTAGGATTTCTAATGTGTTGGAATAAAGCTAATTCAATCGATGTTTCTAACAATTTACAATCGAGCGACGTTATCGATGACCCTACTTCTAAGTTAACCCAGTTTATATACGGTGCATTGAAGTCACCTACTACAAGGCTTTTACCCTTGTTACACCAGGACTTTAGTTTACTTAAGAGAAAATCATCTGCTACACATTCTGGACTGCGATAAACTACAACTACTTCAATATCTTGCCGTCGACATCTCAGCTTACATCGAACCAGTTCACATGTCCCTGAAACATGTGCTGCTGTCTCAACTAATCTTATGGTTAGGGTAGTTTTCGTGTACAGGACAACCCTACCTCCCCCCCGTAGTAGTCTATCAGTCCTATTAGTTAAAATACCAGTCAACTGAATTTCAGTATCTAATACTTCTGATTTTAACCGAGTTTGCAAGACAGCAATACTATCCGATTTTTCTTTATCCATCACTGACTTGAGCTCCGCCATTTTATTTAGTAGGCTGCGAGCATTTGTGTAGCATACCCTTAAGTCTGTGGAGAGCTTCTATCTTTTTGCTCCCTCCAGCACTAATAATATCCGAGGTCATAGCAAGAAGGTTCAAAGATCGCGATCTAATAAACTTAAAGTTGGGTTCCGTTTTTCTCATTGAGCAGTCAAAGACTGGAACGCCTTACCCAAACAAGTGGTATCATCCCCATCAGTGAATATTTCCAAGGAGAAGCTGGACTTTCACTAGAACACAGTCTGTCAGAATTAAAACAGGTTCACCAACCCACTATCCTTATTACGGAAGATTGAAGACTGACTGATTCTCAAAATTGTATTGGACACAATTTACCCAGAAAGTTTGCATAAGACGCTACTTTTCTGGTTAATGTATTGAGATGAGTGACTGTTCAAATTCAGACGAATCGGCAAGCCCGTCTCCACCTAAAAAAAAGAATAAAACTCAAAAGTACACGAAAAAGGATCTTTACTATGATAATGATGAAGATGAGGATGATGACGACGAGGAAGACGAAGAAGAGGATGATGTCGATGAAGATGAAGAACCTGCCTTAACCTCGAAAAAAAAGAGAAGAATGAATTTTGCAATTAAGGTAAGAAATTTGAACTTGTGAGGAGTTTATTGATTTTTTCCGCCCCATTTTGATGGAAATATCCACGCCCGTTCTGATAATACCCATGAAATTTTGTACACAATGCCAAGGAAATTTTTTTTGTTATTTACAATATGTAGAATTGCAAAGCATATTTCTACATGCTTTATTTTGTGAATTTGGCCTTGGTTTTTAGTTTTCGAGGTAAAATAAACGTGTCCATTACACGTTGTTGACATGTTTGGTAGATTACTCACTAGTGTACTTGTATTCAAGTCGATGTACATGTGAAGATTTAAACGCACTAAGTAAAATGAATTGATTCAACGACAATCGTTATTACATTCATAGGGTTAATCAAGAGGGCTAAATGCATGGTATTCTGTTATAGTTGGTTAAAAGAGAAGGCTAACTAGATTTGTATTAATTCTGAATATATAATTATTTCACTTACTCTTCCAACTACATTACTATCTAAGTGAAAGATAATCTGCACATCGCACAAAACGCCTCAAGTTACAGACATTGTATATATGTAGAACAAATTGATATTATTGCTCTTATTTCAACTAAATGTCTGTGAAGTAAGATTTTAAAAAATATGGTGAGTATGACAAAACTTTCTTTGCAAGACACGAACCTCGAAATTGTGCCTAAAATGCATACATTCGACCGTAGTAATTTGCTATACTCCTATTTATGGTGAATCATTAATCGAGTAATTCTAATGATGGGTGTGAATATTTACGAAGATGGTCTGACATCAATACGTTCATGGTCTCAACCAAAAAACAATCCACAACCTCATTGATAATTACCATGTGATCACTAGTGAGCAGTTTCATGAGGGAATTCTCGGAGCTCTAGTGAGAAGGCATGACCGGTGGAGCTAATCCGTATCAGATAGAAACAGGTGTCTACCTCAAGCAATGGAAGATGGTCACGCAGTCTCGTGGATTAATTGAAGTTAGACAGCACCGTTGGATGCCGGCTCAGTGGTCTAGGGGTTAATTGTTCGCGCGCGATATCGATGGTCCCGGGTCCGAAGCCCGCGTGTAGGATTGTGGATGCGCACTGCTGAGAAGTCCCGTACTAGAACGAAACAGCCGTTCATTACTTTCAGGTTTTCAATGGTGGTCTAACATCAATCGACTCACGATCTCAATCAAATAACGTCCTCATTAATGTTCACTAAGTAATCTTAATCAGTGGTAGAGTTAATCATATGGCTCAGAACCAGCTTTACATTCCAATTTGTCTAATTTTCGTTCCCCGTTTCATTTTTTCTAAATCATAAACCGTTTACATGCCATTTAGATTAGACTCTCAATCCCTATTTCTTTTGTTCATTTTGGTATTTCTTTCTCAACTTATTGGGTTCCTCATGCTAAACGTTAAAACTTAGACATACACTTTCTTGCAAGGTTTTGTGTTCGTATGTATGCTTCCTGTTAAAATTCACATAATATACTTTATTGCACTCTATGGTTGGCGACTTAAATGACATAGATCAGTTTCGTCCATTTTCCTTCGTGTAATTCTCCAGTTTAATCATAATTCTCATTCCACGATCCTGTTTATTGCTTTTGAACTAAATTTATTATGTCAAGTTTTATATTATTTCCACTGCTTTCCTTTCCGTATTTCTAACTTTGTTTCTTATCGAGCTGATGCGAGTTGTAGGAATTCGCTTTGATGGGCAATTTCGCCAGCTCATACTATTTTCGTCTACAAACCTGTGTAATCAGTTACCAAAATGAAAAATTAAATTAACTCGTTCTCAAGCTACTTGGACATGAGCCACATTTCAAGTGTGAGAGCTAAAAACACTACCCGGTTGCCCTAACCGAGACAGCCTGGGGTGCTTGAACCTAGAACTTAGTGGCTGAAGTTAAAATGCCTAAATCACTAAGCCATCGCTCCACCAATAGGGAGTTACATGTATATTTTCTAAAAATCAAACCACTTCCGACAGTTTTTTCTCTTCGGTGTTCCCCAAGACCGTGTCAACATCGGCAGTTTGTATACTTACATACACCTGTTACCCCTCATAGACGAGCATAGGCCACCCACCAGCATTCTCCACCGAACTTTGTCCGGGACAATCGTTTCCAGTTCCTATTAATCTCTTTCATATCTGCTCCCGATTCTTGACGGAATGTGCTCTTTGGCCTTCCTCGTTTCTGTTTCCCTTCAGGGTTCCAAGTTAGAGTTTGCCTTATGATGCAGTTTGATTTCCACAATGTATGTCCTATCCCCTTACAACGTCTTTTCCTAATTTCCTCTTTAGCTGGAGGCTGGTTTGTTCTCTCCCACTGTAGGATGCTGCTGATGGTATCTGGCCAACGGATATTCAGTATCTTGCGTAGACAACAATTTATAAATACTTGTACCTTCTTGATGGTGGTTGTGGTGGTTCTCCAAGTTCCAGATCCATAAAGTAGAACTGTCTTGACGCTCATATTGAAGATTCTCACTTTGATATTGGTTGACAGACAGTTGTTTTGAGTTCCATATGTTCTCCAACTGTAGGGATGAGGCCCTTGCTTTGCCAATCCTCGCCTTTACGTCTGCACCGGATCCTTCACGCTCATCAATGATGTTGCTGAGGTTAGGTACGTGAAAGATTCCACTTTTCCAGAGCTTTTTCCTCAAGTGTGGTTGGATCGGTGTTCTCCGTTTTGTATTTGAGGATCTTTCTTGTTACCCTTTGTATTTCGTCGCCTACTAATGTAGAGGCTGATGCTACACCAGTTACTTTCATCTTCATTTGTCCATATGTATGAGATAGAAGGGCTAGATCATCTGCAATGTCCAAATCGTCTAGTTGCATCCAACTTGTCCACTGTATTCCGTGCTTCCCCTCAGATGTTGAGGTCTTCCTGATCCAGTCAACCACCAGAAAAAAAGAAAATGGAGGAGAGTAGGCAACATTGTCTGACTCCAGTCTTCACTTGGCATGTGTCAGTCAGCTGTCCTCCATGCACGACCTTGCACTATAGTCCATCGTATGAATTCTGTATGATATCGACGATCTTCTTATGTACACTATAGTGTAGATAATTGTAACCGTCTGCTGTGACTGTGCTCAGACAATAGTTTGTTTCTAACAAGCACTAATTTCAAACATAGGGAGAAACACCATCTAACATGGAGACCTTTGCTCTAAACTAATGATGGATTCAAGTTGACCATATTTTCATCAGTCATGATTGGAGAGGTTCAATAGAATGCTTCCGCTCGTTCTGGAATACATGTGTAGACTTCGATTGTGCTCTAATACTAGCACGTAATCGCTTGAGCCTTACTGGACTCAGAAAAGTCACATTAAAAGACCCACTAAAGTTGGACTCAGCGATGAGAAAGCTAAAGGAAAATTTCATGAACGACCGAGGTCACACTTGGGCGATTTCGTAAACGAGGCTGACCCAGATGTTGCTTGGAAGGACATACAATCAGCTGTGGAAACAGCAGTGACATCTGTTAGTGACTTAAACCACAGAGTTACAAGGAACCAGTGGATTTCTTCAAGGTCTGTCACACTGATGGATTCTCGCAAACTCGTCCCATCAGGTTCTGAACATGATGAAGAGCGTAAAGAAATCAGATCTAGGTTAAGAAAAAGTCTAAGGAACGACCGTGAGCAGTGGTGGGTAACGAAAGCAAAAGAGATGGAAAAGGCGGCGACTATAGGGAACACAAGACAGCTTTACAGACTAATAAAAGAAACTGGAATTAAGAAGTCAAGTGTAAATGAGACAATCTCGGAAAATGACGACACTTCTATCTGCTCTCATGCCAGACGTTTAAAACGATGGGCGGAACACTTTAAGAGGCAGTTCAGCTGACCTTCGGTTTTTCTACAACTACCCACCGTTCCCAGACAGCATGGATGGAACATTGAAGTAGGTCCCCAGATCCTGGCTAAAGTTCAGAAAGCTAGGGCTAATCTGAAACGAGGAAGAACAGCTGGTTCAGATAGATTGGCTCCAGAGGTCTTTAAGTATGGTGGTCCAATTTTAGCGATTAGGTTGACTAATATTTTAGCTAAAATCTGGGAGTTGGACGTAATCCTATGTGACTGGTCGCAATCACTGAATGTCCCAATATATAAGAAGGGGTCAATATCATCCTGTGATAACCGTAAAGGGATTATTTTAACTAATACTAGCCTCAATGATTATCGGACGCCTAACTCAGACTCGTGGTCTTCAAACACGAGAAAATCAGACTGGCTTCAGACCTGATCGTGGCTGCATCAACCGCATATTCACCATTCGTCAGATTTTAGAACATAGGCATGCTTACCGGCGTCCGACAATGACAGTTTTTCTTGACTTGAAAGCAGCATTTGACTCGGTAGACCGCGAGATTCTGTGGCAGTGTCTGTCATTGAAAGGCGTACCCCAGAAGTACATAAACCTTGTAAAGGCTCTTTACTCGAACACTACCAATCAAGTTAGAGCTTATAGCAAACTGCCATCTGCTTTTGCAACCTCAAGTTGTGTCCGTCAAGGCTGTCCACTTTCTCCATTTTTGTTTAACTTCGTCATAGACCTACTGATGGAAATAACGTTCTCGTCTACTGAACTTTCAGGCATTGATCTCCTTCCAGGAGGTCCACTTATGGACTTAGAATACGCAGATGATGATGAAGATGCCGACAGAAATAGTTACTTCAATGGTTAGTAATATATAAAAGAAAGATTGTGTCAACCACTAAACTAAGAATATAGAGTGAAATAGTCGAACGCGTTGACGACTTCACTTATCTTGGAAGTCTGATCATCCCTAATGGGTTGGTGTCTGACGAAATCTCAGCACGGATTCGAAAAGCTCGTTTGTCTTTTGCCAACTTGCGTCACTTATGGCGAAGGCGAGATATCCGTTTATCAATAAATGGACGAGTATACTGCGCGGCAGTCCGTTCTGTTTTAATTTACGGCAGCGAAACATGGCCTTTAAGAGCAGAAGACACTCGTAAGCTATTAGTATTTGAT